TATATTTTTACATAAATACTCGTACACGCAAATGTATGTGTTTTAAGGCGAGCACTTATAACCGTTACAATCCTTAAACTGTGTTCATATAAAACGTGTTAATTAAAAATTCAAACGCTCATGAAAATAAATATTTTAAACCTGCAAAAATTCCGTGAAACCACTTGGTGCATTTAAGTGGTTACTCAGATGTTCCGTTGTAATGCAGCTGTGTACCAATTCCTCTTTCGATTCTAGTTTATTCGTGTTCTAACGAGAGTGGAATTTAAATTATTGGTTTTAGTTTAGACAATTTTTAAAAGGTAGAATGAGTTTTCGGCACGCCGCTTGGCCCAAATAATTAAATAAGATGGTTTACAATATTGCCACATTTTCAACATTTTTTTTTGCAATAATTTTCATTAAAATAACATTATTTATGTAACAAAATTATAGTCGAAATTTAAATTGCACAGTGTGAGCACGGTGAAAATTAATTAATTGATACATTCAAAAGACAGTTGGGATACAAAAATGTAATGCAGAAAATCCTTTATGGATCGGGGATGAGCCATTTTGTAAGTGGAAGTTGACCAACTTTCAAGAAATTTCGTTCATCGTTCATCATGTTGTCGCTAATCTAAAAAAATACAAGGTGTGATAATTAAGTAATGAGAAGGATTCCATAAGAACCGTATATTTCAAAATTATTCTACAACTCTGCCATCCCCTTTAAAGTAGTCCCCTAGGACAGCTGTTCAACGCTTCTAGCGCGTTTTCCTTGTTTAGCAACATTGTTGGAACGCTTAGAAGTACCCTCGTCACGGTCGCCTGGATGTCCTCAATCGACTCATAATGGGTTCCTTTGACCACCGATTTTGTTCTTGGGTACAAAAAAAGTCACATGGCATATCGGGCGAATAAGGCGGTTGTTGCGATACGGCGAACCCTTTAGAGGCCTTTGGCTCTCATCGCCTATAATAATTCGATCAAGCAGAGTGGGATCGTTGTCCACTTAATCGAAGCAGACTTCTGCAATGGTCATTCGATCATCCTGATTTCGTTTTTCCATTTTCGTGACGAGCACCATGAACACAAGTTTACTCAACACGACACAACAGGCGAACTAAACAACCTAGAGCGATTTCAAATATATCAAAGACGCGGAGAAAGATGCCGGGAGAAAGAAATTTCGCAGGTCGCATGGTTACCACAATCGCGGCAAAATAATCAGTCTCATTACTTTATTGTCACACCTCGTAAGATGAAATGTTCAATGGCCCGCGTTCGTGAAAGCAATTTCCCATCCAAATGGCACTTATAATAGTACTTTATGGAGAAGCAGCAACAATTTCTGAAATCTGAAGTTTGTTTGGTGTTAGTGCCGGAGGAGTTATAAATTTGAGCTTTTCCATTAAATTGTGCAGCTATGCTTGATTGTACATTTCTCCATAATATACTTAAGTCATAACCAATAGAGTATTTTGTACGATTCGGAGGCTATAAAACAAATTCATGTACTGGCCTGATAAATCCTTCAGAGTGGGTGTCTTCCTCTTCCTCTGCTTTCAGCAGCAAAAAGTGTTTCAAATACTCTTCAAGCATTTCATCTATCCGGACAACCAATTTGAAAAAATCAAGGAAAGAAGGCAGGCTCTTATCTAATATACCCAACAAAGTGAAGGTCATACCCGTCCTCTGTTTCCATCAGCTGTTACTGCATCGAAAATTTTCAAAGCTGAAGTGCTTTCATCCATTCGGACAACAGAATTAAGTGAGCGCGTCACTGTTTCCTGAATCGGTCAACCATGTCAAAGCCGTCATTCAACTCGTACAGCTCATTGTTTCATCGTCTGCGGTATACGCCCTTGCCAATGTGCCAAGAACCATAAATCCACCACTAAACTCTCCATCCGAAAACTCATTGTGCCGACTCTTCAGATGTTGTTATCGTTCAGTCACCATGTAGCAGGCCAGAAATAATGAGGGACTTATAGAGTTTGAACTTTGCTCGGCAAGAATGGACTTGGCTCTTCGATTGCCAAGGTCCAAAGTGCCAGCTGCTGATAAGAGTGATTCTGCGTTGGATTTCGAAGATGAAATTGTTTTTGGTGGTAATACTAAATTGGTTTACGGCTAATTAATCTCTAATACGAAATATTATCCATAGCCCATTCATACTTAGTGAGCTTAACTGCAGCAACCCTTTGAATTGCGGTCAGCTAAAACAAACTTTGAACTGTATGATCCTTGCATCATTTTGCCATCTTGGTGAAACACATTTGTAATATGACGTTACTTCAGTAACTGCCAATTTCATACTAGTTAAATACTAGTTCGAATACACTTGTATTGCAATAAAAAGAAAGAGAAGAGAATTTTTCTCTCATGAGCTCGTCTATTGCGACGATGAATGGAGAAACATCATTCTGCCTACGTCAAGAGAGCAAATTAGAAACGGAAACTCACTCACAGCTTGCTACAAAAGGGGGCAACTTATGAAATGTTATAAAAATAACAAACTGGTATCAGATGATTTTCAAAATACTAGTATTTAACTAGTCCACCTTTTTGGACTACAGAGTTGGACACCTACCCACATGCATATCGCCAATACACGTCTCCCACTCTCTCTCTAGTTTACATATATAAATCCTTTTTTACGTTTCGTTGAGCATAAAATGAGAGGAGTTAATTAATTTTTGTTGGCGATACATTTATTCGTCATCTCAACTTTTTATGTGTGCCATTAATTTGCATATTTGAAGAGTCTGCGTGCATACATACATTTATCTGCTATTTACTATGTGTGTGTTAATGATTTAATTTACGCGCAAAAACTTGTAAAATCAAACCAATATGAACGAAATGCTCATTTCGATTAAATATTTAGACCGAAAATCTGAAAATCCCATTATCCACCTGAATGCACACACACACACACACACGCACATATATATACACACATCTATGTATGCTACATTGCTCATATTTTCACAGGGAAATTCACTTTTATGGACTTTACATGCAGAGTTAATACTTTTTTTTACATACGAGTTTTTCGAGTTTACCGTTGTATGAAAAATTTCGCAGCTCCACAAAAATTCTTTGAACAACTTATTTTTATGCCCTTCATGCACACGGTCCGAAGTATGTAAGTATAAGAAGTGGAGGGAAACACCCCGCCCGAATCAGAACAATGGATTGAGTTTAATTAGCCATGCCCGCCTCTCTGTCTCTCCGCTACGTTTGTTGGAGCGCAAACTAGCCACTAAGATTTTGGCTCAAGCAACCGCCGCGGCTGACTTTCGATCATCTCTTGTAACAATCCTGTCTTAATATTAGCAATAACGCGCCTAATATCATCGTACAAGGCGTTAATCGTCGCAGGCTTATCCGCGTAGACAAGCGACTTCACCTAACCCCACAAAAATCAGTTCTTCAGTGTGCATTCTCACGATCTTGGAATCCACGTCACAGATCCACGATTGATTTTTTCGTTAGTTGCTCGGTTCCAATAGTCCAGAAAAAAATCATAGCATTCCCCATTTCGTTTATTAGCGTATCCATACAGCCGAAAGTGAGCTTCACCGCTGTACAAAATTTTCCTGTTAAAATCAATATCGGTGGCCGTCTCGTGCGACGCGCTTGAAGGTTGGAACTTTTGCACGAGTTGGATTTAGCAAGCCTACAAACCAAATCTTATGCCGATTTATTCGATATGAAAATAAATATTTAATCCTAAAAGGAATTATCATAAATTTGATATGTTCATGAAGGGTACATCTAAAGACTTCGGCTTGCTCGTATAAAAAACTTTTTTTGTTATCTTAATATTGTGTACCACACTAATAACTGTACTCATGAATTTATCGACTTACATGAGCTTGTGTGCATACATATGTATATAGTAAATGCGCGCAAAATTTCAAACGAGCCTCCGTTCGCCTCCGTTCGTCTCCGTTCTTAATACGACCAAATGAATTAATTGAATTGCACTCATTTCGCATTTCATATTTGTTCCAACGAAAGTGAAATTTCGTAAATTCCTTGCGACAATATTTACGATGAAGCTTAGATACTCAGCCAACTTTTATTTTTATTTTTTTACATATTTATATTTGATCATTTCGGTTTTGGCACGACACTACAGTTTAGAGTTTTTGCGAAAACTATAATGATTAATATTTTTCGGTCAGTCGAAACTTGGCCAACGGCAATATGAAACTAGAAGCACTTTTTATAATCCATCCACCCACCCATCGTTGTTCCGGAATTGGCTTTCAATCCTGATCAATTTGCCTTAACATTTGACAGTGTATTGCCGTTTTCCATATACCTGCTTGATCCAACTGTCGCACAGTTTCTAATAACTTAATAGATTCTTCTTCCTTATGAACGGAGCCAGTTTCACTACTTATCTTTCGCCGAGAGTGTAGAGTGACTGAATTGGTTGACTATTATACAGTTTCTCTATTTCTCGAACTGAAACGTATATTCAGAAATTCATACTCGCATATATGTGGTATATGGAAACTGCATTGAAAATCGGTGAAGTCATCACTAATGTTAACCCCAATTTTTGTTGGACATTCAGATGGAAATTGATCTCACAACTTAAAGTCTGGATGGCTTTCAGAAATGATGTATACCTAGTATACTTATTTATTCATGTGCCTTGTGATTCTCGTTGGGGATCTCTTCTTTGCAAACGTAAGTTTTGATTCGAAATCTGCTTGTTCGTCGCTATCATGAACAAACTCGCTTCCAGAGTCTTTACAATCGTCACCTGATTCTAATTTTTTCACACATTATGCCCAGCTTCGTTTGAATTTTATGAAAATTGGCGAGACTTATTGTCTCAGTAATCTCCAAAGGCTTTAAGTCTTCTTTACACATAGTCAGTGAATATTTATTATTAACTTGATTGGAAAAAAAAATTAAAATAAAGAAATAAAAATTTATATACTAATTTCTCTCTCTCTCTCTCTCTCTGTCTTTCTCTCTCATCCCTTCACTAGGTTTGTGCATTATCAAAGCGCGGCATGATGCTACAACCGGACATATTGGCCTACAATGAGGCGATAATGCCACCACCTGGAGTCGTTAGCGCTGCAGCGACATCGGGCATGGCCAGCAACGCCAATGGTGTACATCACTACCAGCATCATCAGTATCAGTCGAGCAGCGGGTCGAGTTCGGCTGTCGCGCTAGCATCGACATCGGCGATAAATACAAAATCAATACAACAAAATGTAATTATTGCCAATGCGGGCCTTAGCTATGAAGATGTCCTCAATGATGATTTCCAATTCGATATGGACGGGCATGATGTTATGGTGTTCCTGCATATACAGAAGACTGGAGGCACATCGTTTGGAAGGCATTTGGTGCGTGACTTGGATCTAAAGGTAAGTGAATTTTGTCGGCCTACACATATGAATGTGTATATAATTATATACATGTATATATCAGTGAATGAAGTTGGTTGTACCTGTCATCTTTTTCATACATATGCATGGTTATGTTTCTGAGAAATCACTTCAATGATTTGTGACAATATTGCGAAGGACTTTGTAGCGTGAGAGGAATGTATTTATTTACATACAAACAATGTTCTTTCTTTCATTAAATTTCCTGCTGTATTTCACAATTGCTTCAATCGAAATTAGCCTTTTCGTTGTTGTTGTTTTTTTTTTTTTGGAAGCCATTTCTGCTTATACGCCATTTTACTCACATTTTGCTTCTGTGCAATTTCATTTCGAACAATTGAGACGTGCTCACGCGTTTATTGGGAAGATATAACGATATTTGCAATACATATGCATGCATTTGTGTATATGTACATATGTATTACATGGTGGTGGTGATGTTTACAGCTTTGGCAAATGGTACACCTGTGCACTTGCGGATCTGGGCAATATTCGGCAATTTAAAATTGTGTATGGAATGTGCTTTTAAAATGTAATAACCTGAAATTACAACAAGTAAGGGAAAGCAAGTGCGAATGAAAACGAACTGGTGGATTTCCTGCTTGATTGTTATGCATGTTATAAGCCTGCCTGTCAGAAATGACAGCGGTCAACAAGACCAGCTACGAACTGCTTCATTGAAAACCGCAAGTTTAAAAAGTCACCCTTAGGCATTTTGTTTTTGTTATTGGGCAAAGTGTTGGTACATCGTGCCTTCCATAACTTCTCCTTGATATTGACTTTCGTCCAGATTTTGCGATTTGTAATCATATTGTTGTAGTATTAGATGTTTTTATTTAATTATTATTCTCACCCCATCACAATCGTAAACTAAATGCCATTAAATAACCTTGACTTTGAGAAACGGAAAGGACATTTGATTAAGTGTGACGACAAAAAACATACTTATGTATGTATGTACACGTGTGTATGCACGTGAATTACTCAAATATGAAATGACTACTTGATGTTGACATGACAACCACTCGTCTGTCGCTGGGGTCATTTGTATGCAACGCCTAGCTTTGTTGTTATGAACTGTTGACAGGATGCATTGAATTAAAAAATAATTTCCATAATTCATGGACAACTCACGTACAAACGTACGTTGACAACGATATCCGTAATAAATTCCAAAGTTTTAAGCTCAACAAATTGCACTTTGACGGAAGGAAAATGAATGAGATGAAGCCGCAGAGAGTCAGAATTCTGAGTACATTTTGCTACCGATTTTGCCGGTGTGTATATATATGTAGATATGTATTTCAAAAAGGTGGAATACGCTTAATTTGGTGTCATTTATGCTCTAGAGTTAAATAAACGAGTTATACCAGTTTCATACTAGTCCAAAATGAACAAAACTTTATACTGGTTTAGTTCAGTGAGATTAGTCGAATTAAAATCATACAGACATAATTGATCTTATTGTTCATATCCACACTCATAGAGATGTAAGAATGTGAAATTAGTTGAAATTAAATCAGTTTAAAAAAATAAATTTTAATTAAATAACAACAAATTAACTAATACCAAGGAAAATAAAATGAAAAACATGAATAATTAAAATAAATAAAATAAAATAAAATAAAAGTATATATAAAAATAACACAAAAATAAAGCAAAATTAAATAAAATAGGCAAATACAAAAAGCTAATCAAATAAAATAGAATAAAATAAATAAATATAAAAAAGATAAAATAAAAATAAATTAAAAATAATAAAATAAAATAATATAAATTAAAATTAATTAAAAAAAAGAGAAACGAAAAGGAAATAAAATAACGTAAAATACAATAAACAAAACAAAATAAATTTAAAAAAGTAAAAAAAAAAAAATTAAAATAAAATAATATAAAATAACATGAAATAAAAAAATAAAATAAGATAATCGAATAAAATAAAATTAATTAAATGAAAGAAAAATAAATTTGAAAACATTCTACTAGTATTAAAATGAAATGTATACAAAAAATAAATAAAAAAATAAAAAAAAAAACAAAAATATAATTGAAATAAAAAGAAAATGATATATATAAATTTATAGAAAATGATATAAAATAAAATGAAATAAAAAATTAAATATGATAATAGAAGAAAATAAAACATAAAAAAATTAAAAACAATATGAAATAAATAAAATGAAATAAGAAAATAGAATAAAATAGAATAAAAACATTAATATCAAATAACTCAGTAAAAAATAATTTATATTAATTATGATAAGATAAAAAAGTAAATTAAACTTAATTAAATTAATAAAAAAAAAAATAAATTAAAGAAAATCAAATAAAAAAAATAAAAAAAAATTAAATAGAATAAAATGCATTAAAATAGAATAAATAACATGAAATTTAGTAAAAAAGGTGGAAAAATAAAAGAAATAAAAATGAAATAAAGTAAAATAAAATATAAAGAAATATTTCCTGAAAGAAGAAAAGGAATAAATAAATAGACCAAAGCAAATTATAAAACAAAAAATTTTAATTTTAAAAAATGAGACATAAAAAAAAATAAAAAAAAAATTAAATGAAATGATAATAAAATCAAATAAAAAAATAAAGTGATATAAAGCAAGAATGAAAAATATAATTAAACAAGATAAAGCATATAAAATAAAATAAAACAAAAAACTAAAAAAAAAAATTAATTGAAAAAACGAATTGAAATAAAATGAAACCAATATAATAAAAAAATATTACAAAAATTAAAATGAAAAGAAATAAAATAAAACTAAAATAAAACTAAAATAATTTTATAAACACCAAGAGAAATAAAAAAGGATGAAATTAAAGAAAAATATTATAAGAATAAATAAAATGAAATCAATTGAAATGTAATCGCTTCATGCGAAAGAAAAAATAAAATAAATAAACATTAAAAAAATGCTTAAATTAAATCAAACAAATAAAGATAAAAAAATGATTCAATTGAATTAAACAATAAAATCAAATTGAATTACAACAAACAAATAGAGCAAAATATTTATGGTCGGTGATTTTGCACTTCGTATGGTCTTTTCGAGTGGTTGGCATTACGTACTGCCATTCGGAGGGCCAGGATTCAAATCCTCGGTTCGTACTAACATCCAAAAAAAAAGTTATAAAAAATTAATTTAAATAAAAAATTAAACTAAATTTGCTAATTGTGGTTGCCTCTTGGCCGGGAATATCCACACCTCCAAGTGTATTTCGAACATGAAATAAAGGCTCCTCATAAAAAAAACCAAAAGCCGTTCGGAGGCAGCTCAGTTTAAACTGTAGGTCCATCCATTTGTTGTAAAAACATTAAGACGCAAAACCAAAAATTGGAGGACGAATTCGGCCGAAAATCATTTCAGCAAATACAGAGCGCCAATTATATATAGTCTTTTTCGGACTAGTGCGTTTTTGGTCGAGCAATTCGAATAGTCTGCTGGTTTAATATTTCAAGGTAAAGAACACACAAACTTACACAAATTTGTGTGCTTATGCGTTCATAAATGTACATATATTTATCTACATGCTTTATATAAATAAATTATACAAATGTCAAATATATGCTAATTCTTTTCTTTCTACTCTATCCACCCTCTCACAGCGACCGTGCGAATGTCAACGACAGCGTAAGCGTTGCTATTGCTTCCGTCCACATCGTAATGAGAATTGGTTATTCTCACGCTATTCCACTGGTTGGAAGTGTGGTCTACACGCCGATTGGACAGAGTTGACCAGTTGTGTTGACATCGAGTTGGATAAAAATGAGGGCGAGACAGCCAAACGAAGGTATTTCTATATTACACTCCTCCGTGAGCCCATATCGCGTTACATGTCCGAATACCGACATGTGCGGCGTGGTGCGACGTGGAAAGGTTCCCGTCATTGGTGTTTGGGCCGACAAGCTACAGCGGCTGAGCTGCCGCCTTGCTATAAGGGCAAAGATTGGCTAGATGTAGATCTGGATGAATTCGCCGCATGTGAATCGAATTTGGCGGCCAATCGACAGACACGCATGCTGGCCGATCTGGCTTTAGTGGGCTGTTACAATAAGACTGCTATGCCGACGCACGAACGTGATCGTGTGATGTTGGCAAGCGCTAAGCGTAATTTGGCCGCAATGGCGTATTTCGGGCTCACTGAGTTTCAGAAGGTAAGTGCAGAGTATATTCCATTTTTTGTTTTTTTTATGAATAAATAATCTTTTGGTGTTTTTGTTTCCCTTTAGATGTCACAATATATTTTCGAAGAGACATTTAATCTTCGCTTTGCGATACCATTCGAACAACACAATACCACAATTTCTGCGTCGGCGGTAAATAATTTGCGACCAGATCAAAAGAAACGTATCGAGGAGCTGAACAGTTTGGACATCGAATTATATGCCTTTGCAAAGAATTTACTATTCCAAAGGTACGGTTCATCGAAGTAAGCCACATTGTATAATTGATTATTTAAAAGTAACTGTACATGCATGCATACATGTAGCTTTGGGCTGAAGTCTTAAAATGTGTTGAAGCAGTGTTTTCTCATTTTTTGACGCCACAAACTCGGGTAGTAGTATTTCTGAATATTGGGATTGTGTCATACGGTCAAGGAAGCCTATCTCATATGGCTAGTGATGAGAAGAACAACTAAGGTCCAACAGTATCCGCGACGGTCGGGTCTTTATATCTTTTATTTTATCCGGCTGACTGTCACTCGCGCAATACTACCAGAAATCAATTTGAGAGATATTTTTGCGGCCGCAACAACAACGATTGCGGAGGAGCGCTCTAAGGAGCGTACTAGGAAATCATCCGATTTCGGTTCTACATATCCTTCGCAACGAGCCAGAGTTCTGAACTCTCACTGGAGTTATTGAAGTCTAATTATTGCTTCGATTACAGCCGAAAAACTGAGGTTCCTCGTGTCAACACCTTTAAGTTTGCCCATTAGCGGCAAAGAGGCGGTTGGAAATAAATCTGAAGCTCAACCTTTCGCATCGTCAGCTATTTTATATACATATAACCTTATTTGTCGTATGCTATGAGTCTTAGCACGATACTATCCACCTCTTTACGAAGTTTTTCCGGATAAAATCCAGGTCAACTCCGGCCAGGCCAGGATATTGTTGACTTATATTCGAAAGGGAGCTACTGTTTTGTCGACCTTTCCTACATCTGCGGCTACAGCTTGTAAAATCCTCGGTCCCTCTCTTTTCCAGCTGAAAAAAAAGGTAGATTAAGAAACTACAAGCCTACCAAAGCACCGCTCTCAAGGTCGTGGCAGGAAGCCTACTGTAATCGCCAGAGGATCACTTGTGCGCAGCAAAACATCTATGCTACGGAGCGAAACGCTATGCTGTGCTGTGCCAGCAATATCTGCTGAGATGCTACCAAAGGGAGCAGCGCACCGAGCCAACACTTAGTCACATCAGGAAGGGATTACTTGACTACAAACTACTGCATTCAGCACCAAGTACAAGAAAAGTTGGAAAGGACGGCTTACGGACATATGTTACCTGTTGACCTAAACACTTCCAGTGAATTACGTTCTTGGAGGCAAACCGCCACCAATGGCAAATGAAGAGCTCGAGTTGTTCTAAGAGTTCCGCATAATGCTGGCGCAGCTTAGATCTGGATATTTCAGTCCATCCAACCTTGGCTTCGACATACCCTTTCCCTGTGGTCTGAACTTGTCGAAACAGCTTATTTAAAGAACCACCCGTTAGATGAACTCGATGACTTAGACTGCTCATGACTGATCCTAAGCGAGGATAGCGAGCCGCTACAACAACAACAACACCGCCTTTAACGAACGGATATTAAACGATTTTCACCGAGAGTCCATTAACACCTTCTTGAACGACGCTCCCGGAGTCATGCCATAATCCACAGCAGACAAAGAGCTCGAGCTGCTTCGATTAAGGTGTGGATAAGATGTGGATAGCACAGACTTAATTCCTACGTAATCATAATCAGACATAAACCACCTCCATGCAAGCGCCTTAAAACATACTCATCTAACCTGCATTTCCCCTCTGGTTCGAGCCCGTCGGAGTCGCACGTCGCGTCGGATGGCCTCGGTGAATTAGACTTATCTTTGCGGAGTTAAACTTGCCGCTACAACAACAATAACAACATATAAAATTGATATAAATTAATAATAAAATTGTCTAAAAAAAATTCTGGTCTTCCTCGTCACGAATAGCAGATCATTATTAGCGTTGGCACCACCTACGCGACTATAGCCGAATCATTATTAGCGCGACATCCATTTCTTCTTTTCGCCGTCTGGCGACAGTTGGAAATACTATCATAAGTGAAGCCAGGTCATTCTCCACCTGATCCTTTCAACGGAGTGGAGGTCTTCCTCTGCTTCCACCAGCGGGTACTGCATCGAATACTTTCGAAGCTGGAGTATTTTCATTCATTCGTACAACGTTGCCAATACGCAAAGGACCATAAATCGTTCGCAAAACTTTTCTCGCGAAGACTTCTAGTGCCGACTCTTCAGATGTTGACATCGTCCACACCTGCTCCAAACACTAGACAAAAATGTAGTTTCTGCGTATATTAAATTTATTGATTTCTGCATTCAACGCCATTTGCCAGTCCTGCCGCCCAAAGTTATATTATGAAGAGAAAAAAAAAAATAAAAAAATTAATTAATCTTTTTTTAAAATCATTTTTATTAATAAAATATTAAATTAATCGAATTAAATTTCCAAAGTTAAAATACCGTAAACTAACAAATTTTTAAATTACAGATTCGAGCGTTTAAAAGCAAAAGACAACGATTTCGAGAAGCGCTTTGCCAATTTGGGCAATATCTACTACAAACAGGGTGTAACGGAATTTAATTGGGATAGCAATATCGATGATGCATTGAGTACCGATCATTGAAAACCAAATATTGTGGCAAACACAAAAAAAAAAAAAAACATACACACATGGATAATTACATACATACACGTATATGTATATGTATAGGCGTATTGCATTTATAGCTATATATACATATATACCTATTGTATATGGCTATGTATGTGCAGCATAATTGAAAAAAAGGACTTTATATTAGATTTAAGCTTAAAATTAACAGCAGTAAATACTAATTGTAAGAAAACAAAAAGAAAAAAAAAACAAAAAAATGTGTAACACTTTTCTATTTTCTTATTGTTGTTTTGTATTATTTGCTACTTTCATTCAATCAACCCACACTGAGTTTGTTTGTTTCCACTCAACTCTGCAATGAAATGTGCTTGTGTGTGTGTTGCGCTATTGTAAATATATTTCTAGGGTATAAGTACATATAAATATATTTTCGTACCTTTTTGTAATATTTTTTTATTTTTAATTTTGGTCTGTGTGTTTAAATTTACGTGTTAAAATTAACTGCTTTGCTAGTTTTAGTTTAAAATCATTAATCAATTTATTTATTATTGCTAGACTTTTGTATGTATGATTTTACTATTAACTTAAGTGAACAAAAATACGCTAAGCCAAAATTAGTTTAGATATACATATATAAATATGTACATTTTATAAGCTTAGAAAATAACATTTAGGCGAACGGAGAGTATTTTTTTATGTTTACTTTTTAAAGTTAATTTTTACCAAAACTACTACTTTTACTCAATTAAAATACCATGTATTTATGTATAAGTAGTTCAAACGCATGTTAAAAAATGCAAAAAAAAAAAAAAAATACGTAAAATTTTATCCAACCGGTTTCTGTCATTCATCTGTTTACATGCTCGTACACAGCGCAAGATTTTTCGGGTTCCCCCATCCGACAAGACTTTCGAAAGTAGATGCCAATCTTAGATTTCTACATCGTTCACATTCTTAGCTCGTATAAGAGTGTCTCAGAGCATTACTTAATTTTTTGCTCAAAGTGGATTTTTAGCATTTTATGAATATTTTGCTCATATCTCGTCAACCGTACGGAATATTGCTTTAGTATCTCAAGCAAAACTTTTGGTATTAAATAGACGAAAAAATAAATACAACACAAACGTACCAAAAAAAAAAACAATAATTTTTCGCCTCAAAAACACAAAAAATTTCCATTTTTAAGCATTTTTTCCACCTTATTCTGTCAATATCTCAGCTATAAGTTGAATCAAACAAAAGATTTTCAATTTATTTTATTCCAATTATGTCTATTATGCCTCATCCTATATATGTGGGCTTCATTCTCAGCAAAGGTAGTTAAGATCTTCATCTTGATCAATGTTTCCTTCATATCGTCTCAAATCCAGGTCTTCGGTGTATTCATTTTCAAATGGGCTTATTCTCTCTCTCCCCTCCCCGAGTATATTTCTGACATGAAATAGAGCTGATCATAAAAAAACCACCGAAGGCGGCTTAGTATAAACTGAGGTTCTTCCATTTGTTTCAAAAACATCAAGGCGCAAGGTCACAAATCGGAGGAGGAGCTCGGGCAAAAATCGCTTCAGCGGTTACAAAGCTCTAATTAATATCACGTTTTCATTGGCTTGGTGATATAGTGAAAAAATGCTTACCTTGTTTGTCCGACAGTTGCGGCGATTGTTGTAAAAGGGTGAAATTAAGGTGAAAATGTCAAAAGTTCAATTTCAATATCATGGATACGCCGACTTTTTCGTAACAATACAACAACAGTTCATCCACAAAGCACGCTTGATAAACCAATGCGCTCAGAATCTTACATGAGCTAAGTATGCAAACCGAATGTTGCAGAAATTCAAGTTTTTATGCATTTCATGGTTCCCTACTTTTTTAAGGAAAAAGAAAAAACACTGAAAAGTCAGATTTAAAAGAAAATGCTTATTATCACTAGAAAGAATATTCTTTTGCATTTATTTTTTGAAGATTATCTCTTTCAAATTCTGGCCGTGGTCCTTAAGTTGAGTCCAATTATCGATGACGCGTTCGAGTTTTTCGATTGGTAACTCGCGAATGACTCCCATGATGTTTGGTTCCAAGGTCTAAATCAATGCGAAATTGGCCGCATAGACTTTGGACTTAACACGACCCCACAGCAAAAGCCGAAACGGTGTGATATCACTCAATTTTTGTGGTCAATCGTGAAATTATCTGCTCACCGTAGTGTTCGCTCAATAAATACATTAATTGATGCGATGTGTGGGAAGTTGCGCTGTCTGCCTGAAACCAAATTTCGCCGAGATCACGAGCCTCAATTTCAGGCATCAAATAGTCGGTTATCATGGCGTAATAACGGTTCTCATTGACGGTTATGTTCTCACCGGTATCATTTTTGAAGAAATATGAACCGATGATTTCACCGGACCACAAAACACAACAAGCCGTTATTTTTTCTGCATAAAATGACAGCTCTTGAATCTCTTCGGGTTGCTCTTCTTCCCATAAGCGGCAATTTTGCTTGTATAAATACCCCTTGCATCTTCTAGCAACTGTTCAAGAGCCCATAGAGCGAAGCAATGTCGCTTGGGAAGGTCGAGCGACTTCAATTCTTGCGCAAGTTGTATTTTGTACGCTTTCAATTTGAGATCTCGATGTAAAATACGTCAAGTCGTTCCATACTTCAGTCCGAATTGCTGCGAACGGCGCCGAATCGACTCTCCACGGTATATTTTCTTCACTGCGTACTGGATGTGGTCTGTTCGGTCGAATATTATCCAACAATGAATGCTGGGTCTGAAGATGATTCTTTGGTGTTACGAATAGTACGCTCAGTAGGCCAATTATGTTGACCATAAGTTGAGCAAACCCCGCGAAGTGCGTTCTTTACAGAACGTGAGTTTTCGTAATAAAGTTGAACGATTTGTAAACGTTGTTCAGGCGTAAGTCTTTCCATTATGAAATTCCAAATAATACCAAACAAAAATAACATGACAGCTTGATGTGAGTCAATCGTGGTCTGTCAAAAACAAAAGTCCATTCGAAAAAATAGCTCTACTTGGATCAACTTCGAAAGTCTTATGGGAATTTTTGGTGTTGAAAAATCCAGCAAAATCATTATCAATAATTCTTCTAAAGGGAAAATATCCTTTGCCAGTCTCAACATTTCAAAGTAATTATGTAAATGCCATAAAATCGTATGCATATTTTCTAAATCGATTTTAATTTGTGTGCGAAATTTCATTAGGTTCTATGCGCTGCAAGTGTTTTTAGTGAAAATATATTTCTATAAGACAATAATAAATTCCAATTCATTTTGAAATCGTTTATAATTAATTACATACACACAAACAAATAAAAAGAATTTCATACATATGTATAAAGAAATACAAAGGGAAATGTCGAAACTTTTACAACAACAAAATATGTGCGCAAAACCAACTCAAAATAATATTTGTAAAAAAATATGAAATTCTGCTGCTCAATAAAGAAAACTGGCGGCTTCGGCAACACTCCACAGCCACAACAATTAAAAATCAATAATCCCATATTTATTGTACATATACATACAGACAAAATAAAAAATTAATTAAATATAATAAACATACATGCATTACAACAAAAAATAGATAAATACAAAGTGACGTCTACACGGAATTAAAAATTGTATTACCGGTGAAAAGGAAAAAACAAAATCGTATAAAATAATCTGTAACTCATTTAACTACTTTTAATGCATTTAAACACCTGTATGTAAGTATGTACATACATACATTTGTAACATATATCATTTACACGATATTGTGCCATTATGAAAAAAGTTTATTATTCTTCATTTGTTTATACGTCATATCATCATCGATACCATTACGCATAATAAAATATTTAATTATTATTATAATTGATTATATGGATAAAGTATTTACCAAAAAACAGTGCAATTCAATTAATTTTATGCATTAGAAACGCACTAAAAAATCAAGTAAATTATAAATAAAAAATATCGAAAATAAACGAATTAGTTCTATAAAAATACCGTAAAGAAATGGCGCAACTTTATTCTTATGCTGAAGGCTGGTTATTATCGAAGTGATTTCCTTCTAGTCCCTACTAAACGTTTGTATTTTTACATGTCGAAGATGACTTAGCATTCAATATCACATATGTATATATATATATATATATGAGCCGCTCAGTGCACACATAAATTAACTCCATAAAACGAAAAGTTGAGACACGCGCGTATATTTTGAAAATTCCTCTGATAATATGAATTCAAATATATAATGTAGAATGCATAATTGCAGATAAAGCTTTCATCTAACGGTATATAAAATTAATCAGAAAGAATAGCCAACAAGCAATCCAGTCAGTAATGTTAAATTTGTTTATGTGACTGGTGGAGTTAACCGATTTGTCAACTGAAAAAAGTAATAAAGTTAAATTTAGTCTTCATATATCAGGTGTGCAATTTTGCTTCCGCAGTTTTTTTCCAAAATAAAAAGCTTTATTGGGAAAAAAAGCTTACAGATATATTATTCAAAGTATTGTCCTTGGCTAGCGACAACTTTCTTCCATCTTTCCGGCAATTTTCGGATCTCGGCTCAAAAAAAGGAGTCCTCTTTTGACGCTATCCATGAAATACCCAATTCTTCGAAGGATTGAAGTGTTGATCTGCCAGGCCGTGTGCCATCGAACGGAATGGGAGGAAGTCAGGGAGTCAGAAGACTTCCCATTTCAGCGTTTCCAGGTACTTTTTGACCTTTTTTGCGACGTGAGGTCGAGCATTGTCGTGTTGGAGGATACCTTTGTCATGTAGCTCTTGATATTGTGGGCGATTTTCTTTTAGCGCGGGACTAAGGCGCATCACTTGCGTTCGGTAACGATCTCCAGTGATGGTTTCACCCGGTTTTAAGAGCTCGTAGTAAATCACACCGAGCTGATCCCACCACCACCATATTTGTCTTCGACATCGAAATCACCATTTTTAAAACGTTGAAACCACTCCCGACACGTTCTTTCACTCAGAGCAGCATCACCGTAAGTTTCTGAGAGCATTCGATGCGCTTCAGCTTCATTTTTTTTCGATTTGCAACAGAAAAGTAAAACTTCCCGCAAATGGCGAGAATTAGGCACATAAACGGACATTTTCGACCATGAATAATACGAAAACAAGAACAACTGCCACTGAAACGGCGATGACAATTCGTTAGGCACTGTCCACACTCACTTTAAAGGCATTATCATCTATGTATTTCAACCAGCCTCAGCCGGTGCAGCAACCTATCGGAAAACGGCGGAAGCAAAGTTGTACACCTGAAGTTTAAGTTTTTTTATTAGAGAAAAGCTAGTTATTATACATTTTTAACACATCTTTTCCATAAAATTGAATCTTGGCAGTTCGGTTAAAATATAATTTTTATAATTAATTAATAGCAGCTCTATGTTGGCGGCATTATGCTTTGCGATGACTCAGCAGTATTATAAATAATGTCTTCTGTAACAGCTCTATGCGAGGATTTGCCATTTCGATTTGTTGACAAGTTCTTATAGTAATCAGGTTTAAGAAGAGGAGTGAATTTTAGCAGGTCCATCATCGGGTCGCTCCATTTTTCCCTTGTAGAACTGTGCCAACCTTTAGGATATGATAAATGCTGAGCTATATTTTTCAATTGAGTCTACCCACTAAAGATTTTCTTATATTAATGGCTTGACATTCTGTATCTTGATTATAGTCTCGTTTGAATTGTTTGAGTTAGGGTTTGGACCTTTCTAATTTTATCCAGCGTATTT